TCACTGGGTTTTGACGGCGGAGAGGAGTAGAACGACGGTGAATAGAGTCGCCGGTACAGAGAGGAAGAAAATGGAGAATCGAAGAGGAAAAGGGGTTAGGGTTTATGCGACGAGACGCAGTCAAGTGAACGTTTCGAAACACTGAATTCATCATTTATTTTACGACGTTTCGATTTTTTCTCTCTTTTCGCTCACATCCTTATGAACCGAATTGAAAACAAACCGGACCGAATAAACCAAACCGAATCTAACATTTTTTTTTTTTTTAAATCGGTTTATTTGTGATAATATATGGAATATCTTTTTTTTTTTTTTCTTTCTAAATATAATATATGGAATATCGAGTAGAGAAATACGAGAATTAGAATTTTATCCTAAAAAATTGATGTGATAATGTGGATAAAGGGTAAAACATTGGCAATTCCGATATAGGGGTTGAGTATTTTGGATAATTACATGTACCACTAGATAATTTTGTAAAAAGCTAAAAATTCTTGAATAATTTTCAGAACTTATAATATAATGTATACTATAATTCTAAACGACTCCGGATAATTATCCAACTCATATTTTTATTTACTGAAATAAATTGTATGGAAAATGCACTATTTACGAATTGACATTCAATTTTGCTTTGTACGATTTACAAATTTACAAACAAGAACATACCAATCTGATTCTTCGCAATCACATTATCTACAAATTCTTTTACAAAATGGAAGTAAAGTATGTGTAAGAGAACAAAACTGGAATTCTAAAGATCTTTTCTAATTCTATAAACTATAACTCATCGATAATAATGAATCAATAATACAACTTTTGTTTTACAAGATTTGTACAATTTGCCTGTTAATCACATGTAATAGATTATTTCTTTTTGAAGGTTACCATGCAAAAGTAAGCTATGAATCGGCATATTAGTCCCATGAGAATGAGAACAATGAGACACAAGATCCAATCACTAAGATCATATCCGTATTGAGACAATGAGCTGCATCTAGTCACCACCCACACTCCAGAGTACCTAGCCCAACAAAATACCCAAAATTAAATTGTGATTTTAAAATAAATTACATAAAAAAAAAAATTTCAACCCAAAACTACCTTTTTAATATTGGTAATTAGTAGAGGATGCAC